CCTAGGCGAAGTCTCCGCACCGAATATGGAAGGGGAAGGTCATTGCACTTGTTAATAGACTGGGGCCGGTGAACCATGTCTCAAGTAGCTTGCGGCGCACGCATTTGTCAACTCAAGCGAGAATTTCAGCCTTGTCACATTTGACTGTGTGGCCGGATCTCATCGAATGGGCTAAAACTTGATAGTTGGCATCATTTCCCCGCACTGCTGCTGCGTGTTCAGCTATTCGCGTTAGGGTCAGTCCTCCAGCCTCTTTGACGTAGTTGCTTTATCTACAACTACTTCAAATCCGATATTTGTATACTACTGACTGCCTGTTGACAGCTTATGAGTGTTGCACGCTTACTCCGCAATAAGTGATGGATTTCAACTCAAATATTCATATCAGCCTTCGGAGCGAACCAAAAAAGCTTTGTTCAAAGGGGTATACCCAGCGTTTGCGCATTAATTTCTCAGAAAAATAAAAGGTTAATAACCATCCTGTTGCCAATAAAACATTCAAATCTTCATTGACTCGATGCATCCTATACCTGCAGATTTGTCGCCTCCGTTGGTCATTTGAGTTGTAAATCCGAGTGTTGCTATATACACACCTGGATAACGTTTACTGTTTATCCTCATTCAGGTTAGGTGCGGGATTAGAGGTGGCGAGGTCACAGCATCAGCCTGGTTGTTTTCCAACCACTGTTTTGTCCTCTTTGTCGTGGGTGTACTGCAGTCGTTCTGATAAAACATCGCACCCCCCAACCGCTTTATTGGCTCTCGAAGGGTAGCAATTGAACAGACGTTCAAAAGCATGGCTGAACATTCTGCTTCTCCCGTCAAGCACAAATTAAAAATCCTTGCATGAAATACAAACCTTGAGTAGTTTTACATAATCTTAGGAAAAAAATTCGCGCTTTCCGTTGTTCCCCTGATTTAGGTCGGCTCTAGATTGAGCTCCATGGCACAACGGGACGGGCGTACCTCGCAACCCGATCGATGAGCACACTTCCAACACAGGCTTCCTAACTGTATAGCGTCAAAAATCGGTGACAGCCACAGCAGTAACCATAAGGGCACTCCGGCCGAAATTTCATACTGTGGCAAAACCAGATTGGAGACCACCAGTGAGCGTCTTTTCTGAACGTCGGGGTTTCCTTTCCACAACACGCCATCTGTCCATGCGGGCCGGCATATGCTTGCAACTCAACAGGTTGGACAATGTAAATAACGATAACCTGACATGCTTAACAGGGGATTTAGGCTTTCGCAAGAATGATTTCAGTTTTAGTGATCCTCCCCTCACTAAAACACATTCAGCACGAGGTTTCATTTCCGCTTGATGTGATCATCATGAAAATTCCCGTTTCATGCAGTTTTCCGCGTGCTCGGGCTCTTTTCTGACAGTTAGACACCAATAAATATAATTTGCCGTTTTGTGACTGCCTGCTAGTCGTGTTCAGGGTGGTTAAATTATCGAAAGTGCATCTAGTCCCAACCTGAGGAAGTGACTGCTTTAGGCACCATGACTTTAGACGTTTCCCTTGCAAGCCTATTTTTACAACCATTTGCCGCGCGGGTGCTAGACAACGCTAGACAGACAAGCTCACGTATCTACTCCCGCATCACAAAAAACATAAGATAGTTTTCTAACGAAGAGAATATTGCACAAATTGTTGCCACGTGGTTACTTGAAGAAAAATACAGCCGTCTGTCAAAGTTAACTCACGAAATGAGGCCAGAGTGAGCGCACATGATGAAAGCTGAGCGGGCCGATGTTTTTGACCAAGGCAAAGGGCACTGAGGACATCGAGGCTCTCGCAGAAGTGGCGTTCGCCGAGCCCTTCTCTCCGCGGAACGGAGGGAGGGCTCTTTCGTCTACTTCGTGTCCCGGCGCACAGTCCTCGCGGCGATGCCCGGCGGGCACGTTTCAGTCGAGAGGTCCCCGAACGACCAAAGGACATTGGTTTATCCATCACACCTTCTGATCATTTTATGTCAGGACAGGACAATCAGCCCGTGGCTCAAAGGTTAGGGGCGTTGGACTTCTAACCAGCAGGTCGTGGGACCGAGCCTTAGGTTTTCCACACACCGGTCCCAAGCTACCATATGCAGCCCGAGTCATAAAAATTAAGACCGATTAAACGCCAGAGAGCAGTTTGAAGTGATGTATCGTATTCCGCGTCTAAATTGTTCGTTTAATTACAGAGGCCAGAGTGAAATCATGCTCGGTTCGCGCATACGCGAGCACAAGCTAACGTTGTATCAGAAGTGACTGCCCACACATTCTAAACGCGTCACGAGTTCAACTTCGCAGAAGCCAACATAATTGCTCACGTCAGAATCAAGGCAAGCGGATGAGAACTCAGCCAACTGATGTATTGATCTGGCGCCGGCATACAGTCACCTTCATACCCGCGGCACTGATCGCTGATTGGCTAATATCCCTTATAACTGCCACTTGTCCTGTTGTTGCTATCATTCCCGGCGATGGACTCCTGTAACAGCTCGAAATCTCATAAAAATGAACAAATGTTTCCGGTGCTATATCAGTCTTCTCCTTTCTCACTCATTATGCAAACTGGGTAACGGTAGGGTGTAGGACCCACAAGCAGATAGCAACTACAAAAATATACCCTAAAATTCAGTGTGACTGTAAACATCAATTGTTCAGTTCAGTTCAGTTCAGTTCAGTTTATTGAGGGAAATAGGCGTAAGCCTTTGAGTACCCTATTTGCAACGTAAAAAATGTGTGGTGTACAGATAGATGTTCTGGGCTGAAATAGTTCGAACACGCCCATAATGGTGGGACAAAATGAGAAGAAGTTACAGGGGGTGAGCTCGACTTCTCATCGCTCTTGGTCATTTCGGAACATAAATATGTCCAGATTCTTCTTAAAACTTTGTATAGATGGTGACATCACAACATCTGCGGGAAGCTCATTCCACGGTTTGACCACCCGAACCGAGAAGGAGAACTTCCGCACATCCAGCCGTGCCTGCTGAGTGCGCAGTTTTAACGGGTGACCTCGGAGGTTGGTCGTGGTAGCAAATTCAAAAAGTCCTCGAAGGCCAGACTGCAATCCAACCCCTTTACAATGCGGAAGGCTTGCAAGAGATCTCCGCGAAGTTGCCTGTAACTCAAAGGAAAGAGGTTCAGATTTACTAGGCAAGTCGCATAAGGAAAGGAGCTTTGACCCCTGACCATCTTCGTGGCTCTCCTCTGGACTCTTTCGAGGCAGTTTTGATCCACAACACCCACGGCCTCCAAGCTTGTATGCCGTACTCTAAATGCGGCGGGACGAATGTTCCGAATGTCTTAGAGAAGGCTTCTTCGTCAAAGTCCATAAACGCACGCTTGATGGCGTACAGTACGGACATTGCGGTTTTTGCCACCCTCGAACAGTGGGCGGATGGTTTTAGGGAACTCGTCGTAAGCACACCGAGGTCCTTTTGGGCTTCGACCTCTTGTAGGGCTGCACCGCCCAGAAAGTAGCCTCTTGTGCTGGCGGATCTGGCTGTGTTGCCTAGGCGAAGTATGCTACATTTGGCAACGTTGAACCGCAGGAGCCAACGGTTTGACCACTCCTCCAACCGATTCAGGTTCATCTGCAGTCTGTCTTCATCGGCAGGACCCCGAATTACACTCCATATCTTCATGTCGTCCGCAAACATTGCTACTTCACAGTCCAAATCTCTTGCGGCATCGTCCACGTAGATAAGGAACAAAATGGGTCCCAGTACTGAACCCTGGGGGACACCACTTTCGACCATAGCCGGATCTGATTTTCCCCGACCGACGCACACAACCTGGTGTCGACCCACAAGGAAGTTTTCGATCCATTTAAGGAAGTTGCCACCTATCCCTATTCTTTTCAGCTTATGTAAGAGCCTTTGGTGTGGCACAGTGTCGAAAGCCTTCTGGAAGTCGATGAAGGCTATGTGGACCGCGTGCCTGTCGTCGAGAGCTTGGGTCCAGCTCTGGAGAGATTGCAGCAGGTTTGTCGTGCAGGATCTTCCTTTTCGGAACCCATGTTGGCATTTCGATAGCAGGCCGTGAACTTCCAGGAATTGCATTAGTTCACACTTTATGATCCTTTCCATAACTTTGCAGAGAATGCATGTCAAGCTTATGGGCCGGTAATTTGTCGTCGCTGCCCTGTTACCTCCTTTGTGTAGCGGAGTAATATGCGCCAGCTTCCAATCGACAGGAAGTGTTCCAGTGTCAAATGACGTTTGAAAGAGCATCGACAAAGGCACAGAGAGCTCACGGGCAAGTTCCTTCAGAAGCTTGGATGGAATCTCGTCTGGTCCTGGCGACTTCGATTCGTTCAATGCCTCTAATTCTCTTCGGACAATGCCTTCTGAGAAGTGTATATCGCTGACGCTTGGAGTCGGCAGTTCTTCTGTGGAGGGAGGAAGGAACCTTGCCTCGTTTGTATAGACTGATTGGAAAAACCGTGAAAAATACGCAACTTTATCCCTACTATCAGCGATCTCAACGCCATCAGTAGTCTTTATCAAGGGGATTTGATGCCTGTTCCTTGTAGTTCGTCGGAGGTAGCTGTAGAGCAATTTTGGGTTCTGCGTTGCTTTTTGTAGCAAATTCTTCTCGAATTCCCGCCGCGTCTGCATTATCAGCTTCCTCAGTTTGTTCCTCTGTGTCTTGTAGGTGTTGAAGCATTCAGCTTGTCTAGTGACGCAGTATTTTCTCCACAATTTGTGCTTCCTGTTGATTTCTTTTTTGAGGTTGCTATTTAGCCACCCAGGGCGTTTGTTCAGTCTTACACTAGTCAGTGGGCAGTGGTTGTTGATGAGCTGCAGAAGGACATTCTTCAACAGCTCCCAGTCATCGTTGGCACTTCCCGTAAACAAAGAGCCCCAGTCAAGACCGGATAAGTCTGCCCTCATCTGATTGAAATCGCCCCGCCAAACAATACGCCTTTTGTGGCCTGGAGTGTGTGAAATGGAGAATAACGAATAATCCCACATAAGCACTACGTGGTCACTTCGGCCAAGGGGCGGCATGGAGGCGATCTCGTCTATGCTGTCTGGTGTTTTCGTAAAGACCAGATCCAGGCAGTTTGCCCTTTGTCCTTCACGTGTTCTCGTTGGGAACATTACATGTTGTGTGAGGCACGCATTTAATGTCTTGCTCAACAGGCGGTAATCGAATGCCGATTTTGGACCTGACGCTTGGAGGGTATTCCAGTTTGTTCCTGGTGCGTTGAAGTCGCCCATGATCATGATGTTAGGTCGACTGGAAAATTTCTCCAACTACTCCAATAGTTGAGTGTCGGCGATTCGGTCTGTCCTAGGTGGTCGGTAGACAGTGAGGACATCGAGACACGGGGAACCGGTAGCCTTGGTGGTCAACCAGATAGCTTCCGTACTGCACACAAACTTGGTGGTGTTATCCGACACTGCCAGACCGTCATTCACATACACAACGATACCACCACCCTAACGATGTTCCCTGTCCCTCCGATAAATTTGGTATCCAGGCAAGGCTACTTCGTTATCGCTAATAGTCCCGGACAGCCAGGTCTCAGTTACTGCTAAAACATCTGGAGACAGCTCAACAAGGCAAAGTTTTAGTTCGCCTAGTTTCGATAGGAGGCTTTGGGCATTCGTGTACAAGCACCTCAGTTTAGCACCAGCCGAATTTCCCGTTGCATTTGTTACTGTTTTGAGCATTACTCCGTTATCGCGGACGTCGTATTCTCTAGGCTCTTCCGTTACCTGATTGGTTCCATTTGCATGCCTTGTTTCAGTCAGATCACTGGACGCTACGGGCTCACTTGTGTTGGCGCCTTGATCAGGTGGTTCAACGAAGGTGTCTGTTTTAGCTGAGTAGCTGTCGTCGTTCGTAGTATTATAGGCTGGTTCCACTGAAACGGCATATATTTCCGAACTACCTTCCCTTGAAGATAGCCAGATTGTGTTCGCCATCCTTCAGTCTTGATTTTAACTCCAAGACAAGTTCCCGGCGTTTCAACCGTTCCGCTGGTGAATAGTCCGGTTGAAAAAAAACCTGTTTGTGTGTGTTTCTGAGATCGGTTTTTTTAGAGAGGATAAACTTGATTTGCTCTTTGTTCTCCAGCATAATTTTGAGAGGGCGAGGTGGTTGTGCTACTGTCCTGTCTTCACTCCTTTTTCCTATCCGGAATGCTTTCAGAACCTTCATTTCCATGTCTGCCGGCAGTAAATGATTTAGCAGACCATGAAAGGAAGCAAGGTCCTCTGAGACACGGTCTTCAGGTCTGACTGCATTCGGTTCTGACAAACCCTGAATAACCAGACACTGCGGGCGAGCATGGTCCTCCTTACTCTGTCTTTCCGGTGAATGCGCTGCATGTGGGCGAGGACGATTTCCGGAGTCATCGCTTCGACGCACACTTTTACTGTCTACCGACTGTCCCGAGCAACCCATCAGGGCTGGCTGGGACTTCAGAATCCTGTCATGGCGTTTCCCTCTCCCCTATACCCACTGGTTTATGTCTTCACATTCAGATACGTGCTCTGTAGTGCGCTCGGGGTGGTTGCCAGAACAAGAGGGCAAGAGTAGACTGGATGACCCAGGTATATCGTCTCCTGGCAGAACAGAAATCCCATCACTTACAGCAAGAGGCTTAGGTGACATGGATTCCGCGATAGGTAATATTTTTGCGACATCGCTTAAGACATCGTGCGTGGGAATCGAGTCTCCCTTTATCGGCGGCTTCGTTTTCATTCTCCTGCTGTTACCGGCGTCTGCGGTTTTGGCTGTTGAGTTGCTACTCGTGTTTGAAGATACCCCCGAGGAGATATTTTTTCGCGTTTTTTGCGTTTTGCTCTTCGCTTTTGGGATACTAACACTGGACACGTTCTGGCCGACTACGGTCTGTTGCACGAGCGTCCTTAAATCAGCAAGCTCCTTTTCCAGTTGTTCTACTTTGATTTGAATATCTGCGCACCCAGCACAAGGCTCGTCTTCGTACCTCACACTTTTTGCGGTATTTACGCTTTTTGCACGCTTTGCTGATCGTTGGCTGGAGGCGAAGGTTGAGCGAGCACAGGGTCTGGATGCAAAGGACAACTCACCGGACTTATCTTCCAAAGAGGTGCCTTCGCTGGCCGTTCTACTACAGTTAGCCTGCTGAGAATCCATAAACTTCGACGTGATATAATAGGTATAATTCCGCTTTCGATGTTATAACGAATACGTCCGCTTATATATGGTGAATTAAAGTAAGTATTCAAAACTCAATAAGCGAAAAAATACTTAAAATCCGATAAATTTTGTTGAATTTAATCAGAAGCGACTTAGCCCTTTCCAGATCTCGTGGGACTTGAATAACTGCAGACCTTGAAGGATTTTGAGCGATTGGTTTTCTAGGCTGCATACCGTGAATCGGTTGCGTAGCCAGTTGCGTTGTCAGTTGGACCGTGCTGATAAACAAATTGCACTTAATCCAGGTTCCAGGCGAATTTCGATGGGTGAAAAAATATTCCAAAAATGCACAAAGTTAGTCTGTACGTACGGTTCCAGTATCAATGTCAGAGACTGTAACTGTGGGATGGTATCCAAGTCGAAATTGTGATTCACCGTTCCCATTGTTTGAAATTTCATCCCCTTCCTGACTAAAGGCAAACGGACCAGCGGCGCTTCATTCAAAGTGCGTTTTTTGAAAATAACGAAGGAATTACGAAGTAACTATATTTCCACTACCTTAGCTGCACTAAGACGACATGCAGAAAGTCACCGAAATAGAGAAACGCCAGCGGAACTTTTGCCAGAGGTCACCGGCCCTTGACCATCTTGAGAACCGTGAGAGACTGACGTTTGAAGACTACGTACAAACAGTCAGAATTAAAAGAATCGGGGCCAGGACGATTAAGCTCCTACGAAGTGTTCAACCGGTGAAGGCTCAGACGGCCCTTCCGAACTACTCAGAGTGGTACGTTCATAACTATTCCTCAGTACGGCTTAACAAAACTCTCGTGGAGATACTATCTCTTGATCCTAAGTTTTACAACGCACGGCGGATGCCGAAGTAGTTAGAGTTAGAAATCCATTTCGAGACTCTATTTAGTCAAACTGCTGATCTAAAACCCGGCGGGCCTAGAGAGGTTGATTATCTCAAGAGGATGATGGTTAAATGCTGTCAACAAAACTTAAGGAAGGCTCCAAAAAACAAAAGTCCACTGACAAGGGCTCATCTCGATAGTCTCAGGGAACTTCGAAAAAAAAGAAAATATTGTGCTAACCAGGCCAGGATAGGGGTTTGCAAGTTGTACTGATGGACAGAAAAGATTACGTAGCGAAACTAGAACTAATCTTGTCGGATCGTCTCGTCGTCATTTGAAAACAGCGATCACTAGCGCTTATCTCGCGACGAATTTACGCGCATGTTTCACGAACTCCCCCCTCTTACGCATGGGAGGTAAAAATCGACTACCGTTACAGGCCACACCGATGTGTATTTACTCATTCACTTGCTCCTGTGGAGCGGGATGCATTGGCCGTACAACGAGGCGTCTGGAAAAGAGAGTACGTGAACACATATCGGGCTGGCTAGGCAAAGGTCAAAAGCAGATTAATTTCGAAGTCTATACTTGAACATCTTTTCGATACGAATCATCGAGTCGATACCAAAAAGGCCCTTTTAAGTCGTCTGCCGGACATCAGCAAACTTATCTAAAGGCCTACTCTAACGGGTGCTAGCTACAGCCGAGGCAGTGGCCATACGGTTAGCGAATCCAGTCCTATGTTGTCAGCAGACTTTGGCAGA